CACACCACGCATACTCTTCTACCCCCCTCCCCCTCGTTTCTTTTCGCAGCCGTAGCAAATGTTTTGGCCGATCGAACGAACATCTTTTTTTTTTTTATTTTCTTTTTATCGTTCCCGAGCTTCTTTTTGTCCCGAGCATCACGCCGAAACGAATTTCCAGGCAACCCTTCGAGACGCGTGTGTTCCCGATCTCCTTGCGATTAATCTCCTCATCCCGATACGACCGTAGATTAAGCGGACCGAATGTCAACAGGCTTACCAAGGATCGGTAAACGCGGGGAAGTTGCGATTCAATCGAACATTCGATCACGAAAAATCCAGATCACACAGTCTCTACGTTCACGTGATAAAAAGCACCGTGTATGCGAGCGTGTGAACAAAAAAAAAGGAGAAAAGAAGAAGAAGAAGAAGAAGAAGAAGAAACGATGTTCATTTGCCTCTCGGGAGGGGGAAGAACGATTCCTACGCGATCCCGCAAGATCTGTTTATCGTTTAAAAAGAGGCCAGCGTGTTTTGGAACACTTTCCGCGCGCGATTGCACCTCGTTTCGTCTGTCACGCCCTGCTTACATATTTTTTTCCTTCCTTCCTTCCTTCCTTCCTTCCTTCCTTCCTTTCTTTCTTTCTTTCGTTCGTTCGTTCGTTCTAACGTATGTCTCGAGAGTTTTATTGCTTCTAGAAGTTCGCGGTTGCCCATTCGACAAAGTAGTATCGAAAATATATATGTATATTATATGCGTACAAACCATTTGATTATTATCGAATTATTTGCACAAATTACAGCACGGGAGGGGTTCGAAACATAAAAAAGGGCGAGAGGGGGTATCGGAGTAATTAGACAGTGAGCCGGACGGACCATCAGATACGTCGTACTTCGATAGAAGAAGGATCGACGAGTTGAATGAAATTCGTCGTCGATCGATCTCGTGCCTCGATTCGTTTCGTTTCGTTTCGTCGTCGTCGTCGTCCGTCGTGCTCCGTGTTACGTTAAGTTATGTTATGTACGTTTATGCTGGATGCGTTTTATCGTGTCACATTCGTCGCGATCGTTCTGACCTCTGCGAAACAACGTGTGCCTAGGAAGAAGAAAAAAAAAAGGGAAAAAAAAAAAAAAGGGAAAAAAAAAAAAAAGAAAAAAGGTTCGAAGTTTCTCGTCAAGTACATCACACGAACAGCAACGGCACCTCGCGCAACGTGTATGTACCTTTTCTTTTTTTCGTTTTTTAGGCGTAATCCGTGTCCCTGCTCTTTCGTTGCAGAGAGATTACCGAAGATAATAGATATGGTTGCGAATGAAACCGATTGTAATCGATGTGATCGTGCGGTTATATTATTATTATTATTATTATTATTAGTATTATTATTGTTATTATTATTATTATTATTATTAGTATTACTATTATTATTATTATTATTATATCGGGATATATCGGAATCGTCTCGAGGAGAACGATTCAGAGCGTAAGAAAGCCGAGTTCCGGAAGAAACGAAGAACGACGACCTCTTCCGAACGAACGAGTCGCGAGGACGCAGCCACGCGCATGCGTAATACTTTGAAGCGTACCCACGAAAAAGGATCATCGAATGGCCCGCGACGAGAATCGTGAAATGCAATTTATAATATACGTAGAAAAGGTACGAGGACATTAATATCGGACAGGCTTCTCTAAAATACTTTGACAAAGCGGACTCGACACCGATAGTGTGTGAATTATTTGTACGAGTAATTTACAATGATCCTCACCCTCTTGAGCCACCGTAGCTTAAAATAATGAACATTTGTTTGCTTTTTCTTTGTTTTGTTTTTTGTTCTTTTTTTTTTTTTTTTTNTTTTTTGCCTCTTCCCCGCAATTTCCCGCGTTATTTCTCGCGTTGTGGATCTGTAAATCCGATCTCGTCATACCTGGCGTTTCCTCTAATCTCGTTATTTCCTTTCATCCTCCAGCTCCCGGACACACAAATTTACAATCGTTGGCTAGCTCTCGTAACCATCTCTCCTCGTCTTCGTCACGTCCTCGTTGTCGTTCCTGTCCCACACATTCATTCAAATACAATCCTTCGAGCGAGCTGCGAGTTTCTCTCTTTCTTTCTTTCTTTCTTTCTTTCTTTCTTTCTGCCACGTTACGTCCGTTTTCGACCAGCGAGAACGATCATACGTTCGTTTATTACCGCCGCCGCCGCCGCCGCTAGCGTCGAGACAACGCGGACAACGAGGTGCCGCTCCTCGTTCCTTTTCCCCATCGTCCGCCTCTCTGTATTTCTCTCAATCCCATTCCGGAACGCGGATGTAAACGTAGAAAAATAACGATCGCGCAATCCGCGTTAACACACACACGCGCACACATTATGTAGTTCATTTTTGTCCTCTGTGTTGTTGCCTCGTTTAACGCACGCTCGTTTGCGGCGCCAGACCGAGACAATCTTCATTCGTGTACGTACCTACGAGTATAATGTACCGTTTGACCTGTATATTTTTTTTCCTTTTCTTTCTTTTTTTTTCTTCTTTTTTTCTTTTTTTTTTTTCTTTTTTTTCCCCTCACGGCGAAATGAACCGTCGGCATCGCTGCCATCGTTGACAGACGCGCTATTTCAACGTGCTATCGTCCATCACCGTGCGCATACTTGTTTGCAACGCGTTCAACTCGATTCATTTCACGCGATCTATGCGTTCGTATGTTTGCGCGAGAACGATGCGATTGAGGTCACTTCCACCTGTGACAGGATCGTGTGCCGTGGTCAATGATCGTTGAGAATTTCCTCCGACGTGTATCGATTTTTTTAACTTCTTTTCTTTTCTTTTTTTTTTTTTTCTTGCAACCGTGACACTATTCCATCTAGCCATCTGGCTAGAAACAGCGTCGCACTAATTCCGTGGAAATTAGGCACAAGATCCTTCACGAGGTCATTAAGCACGTAAACCCGTTCGAAAATTGAGCTACAAAACTCGAACGATACCTTTCTTCTACGAAGCACCGATTTTTCTCTCTTTTTGCGTTTTTTCTTTTTTTCTCGTTTTTTCTTTTTTTCTTTTTTCTCCTTTAATTGCCTCGAATATGTCGAATATATAGCGAATCTTTTTCTCAAGTATTTCTATTGCGATTCGTATTGAAAAGAAAGTTGTACAGTTGCTTCGTCAGTTGTCGTTAATCGTTATTGTCCTTGGACAATCGTGCAGCTTCTCGAATCGCAAACGGAAAATTTTGTTAACTCTTCGGCCTTAACTTTTTTTTGTCACTTCTCCATAATTCAATGGAAAACTATTTAGCTAAATATTTCGAATAACCAACGACAAAATAAATCATTTGAGATCTTAACAATTTTTCTGTTTTTCTGTTTTTTTTTTTTTTTTTTTTTTTTTTTTTTTTTTTTTTTTTTTTTTCTTGTGAAAACTTAACGTTCTTGATTTGGCATCTATTGTCAAACTATGTAGAATGACACAACTTTCTTGCCCTGAGTAATTTATTACGTGAATTAACAAAAGTGTCGATGGATCTGTAGATTTAAATTTTTATTTCTAAAACGTGGATTTTTATTAGGGCACGTTTAAAAAAAGAATTTTCCCCAAGTGAACGACATATTGCTTTGAAGCGTGTATGCAAATTGGAAAATATCGAGATTGTTGATAAAAATTCCGGGAGACAAGTATTTCCAAACGTTCATCAAAAACTTTAACTCTCAATTAGTAACAGGTAACAATTGATATGGTGAATTCAGAATTCATCTAATATAGAGATAATTATGATCTTAATAATAATAATCTTACACTTTACACGGATTCGAATTAGAATTTCAAACGATGTAACAATTATAAACTTATTAACGACAAACTGAACGGTCTCACCTCGTGAATATGTCAATAACTTATCGGCAAAAGAATTATCAAACGTTCATAACTCGATAAAGTATATTCATTCTCGCTAATATAAATACAATTTTAAATTTCACGGCCTAATTTAACATCGCATCTCGTTCCAATAATTGAGAGTTAAAATTTCTTTTGCCAGGAGTACAACGAGTCAAAAACAGTTGTGTCTAATTCTACGTTACCAACCGAGTTAATCATTAATTCTTCCAGCGTATTTAAACGTGCGGCATTTTTATGAATCCGTTTTACTTAAACGATACGCTACGCGTTTACTGCGAGACGGGTTTACGGGCGCACGGTTGTCGATTACAATTACAATTCGAATAACACTATTATGTATATTCATTTATTCCAAAGCGCATCACTACGTCGTGTAAGATTGTGTCTGTGTAAGATTTTTTTTCCGTTTTTTTTTTTTTTTTGCAAATGTGTAAGTACCTAGCTGATGATGATTGCGAAATTTGTATTCGCCGCACCTTCCCCCCCTCTGTTCCTTTTTTTTGGCAAGAATATTGTTCATGGATCATCTAAAAAAAAAAAAAAAAAAAGAAAAAAAAGAAATGGGAGAGAGACACAACATTTTCATCGACAATGAAAACTTAGAGGGGGAAAGATAGTTGCTACTTGATGAAGAACTTTGAATCTACACGGAGAACTGTTTTACCGACCGGGTTGTTGCTGCGATCGTGTTCCTTCTTCAAACTCCCTCTATGCAAGCAATTCTTACGCGTTTTAAACAATCGTATGACTATAAAATCGTCAGACTGTCACGATATTGTTATAGATCGAATGATTCTAGCGTTGATGATTTATATTTAAATGGTCGAAGTAGAGAAGAGGAACAGAGAGGCAGAGGGCCAGATAAAACAAAGCCGCGCGATCGGATGTTCGTTTTTTGCGTATCGTGTTGCGCAAAATTTGTTCAAGCTGAGCGAATGTAGTAAACTACGCGTACATTTCACATTATTAACATTCTTGTTCACCATCATCATCATCATCATCATTTATAATCATTATCTTAATCGTTCTATGATCATCCTCACTGTTATCAGTTATGATCAGCGTCTTCGTCAATGTCTTCGTTTTCTCCGTTGTTCCGTCGTTTTTTTTTTTTTCCTTTTTCCTCTCCTTCTCTCCTTTGTTCAGTTTCAAGTTCAAAGAAACCTCTCTCTCTGTCTTTATGCACCACTGTACGATGACCAGAATAACGAATCAAAATGTCACCCACGAACCTCGACCGCAGCGAATCAACATTGATTTATACAGATTTGTCTTTTTCAAATTTCCCTGCAACCTTCATTTTTTTTATTTGTTTGTGTTCGTCAGCGAGTTGGCGGTTCGCTGTTTAAAATCATGTAAAAAATCCAATATACGCGGATAGAATTTTACGAATCGGCTGTGTGTGTGTATGTGTGTGTGTGTGTGTGTGGAATTCGTTTTCCTCTAGAGTAGATGAGAAACGATCGCTGATATATATATATATATATATATATATATATATATATATATATATATATATCTTTCTTTTCTTTTCTTTTATCCATTCTTTTTCTTGTTGCGAACGCGGCAATGTTAACTCGCCGTTAGAACGTACCTAGGGTCTTCGTTTCATTGTCGGTCACGCGAAATGATGATTGCTTTCGTTTCGATCGCGCGTCTCGAGTCACGCGTGCAACTAACGCAGCCTGCGCGGATCGTCATCGTCATCGTACGAACTCTTAAAAAAAAAAAAGAAAAGAGAGAGAGAGAGAGAGAGAACAGAGCAAGAACTGCCGTAACGAAGTCCATCAAAGGACAGGAATCCCCGGCCACGTTGCAACGTGAACCTTCGAGCCTTAATTCGATTTTTGAAATGGGGGGAAGCTGACTCGAAGGTTACGTCGTGTTCAGAGTCGAGTACACTTCTTTATACACCGACTGTCATTCTCTCCCTCTCTCTCTCTGTCTCTTTCTCTCTCTGTGTGTTCTTTTCCCTGACATCATTTTCTTGTCCTTCGATTCCTCTTCCTCATCTTCGTTTCGTCAGCCAAATCCTATTACATTTGATCAGTGTCTCTCTTCACAAACAAATTCCTCTTGCACCCCCGAGACAACCGAGAGAGAACCGAGCCAATAATCCCAATAAACGAGCACGGACGATTGGTCAATCGACACGGTGAATCAGCAGTCTGTGTGTGTGTGTGTGTTTCTCTCTATCGTGTCCTCTCACTGTTCACGGCCCTGTTCACACTTCTCGAAACGGACTCGCCCAGAAAAACCGAGGAAAAAAATCACCAGCGTTTTCGTCTTCACCCTCGTGTCGTGTGTGTTCATCAGCTAGCGACGTGTCTCCCAACGATCGTAGCGTTTACAGTGGATTTAAAGGCAACTCGTTGGAGGAATGTATTTATTTTTTTTTTTTCTTCTTCTTCTCTTAATACTTCTTTTTTTTTTTTCTTTTTTTTTATACAACTATAAGGCTGTCGATGGAGAGCGCGCGCGCGCGAGGTCCGTGAGGCCGCTGCTCCGCCGCGAGCAGTGTCAGCGCGTCTGTTGTGTGAACAATTTTTCAGTAGCTGTTTTAGCCGGCGATGCTGCGAATGGAGCGATCGTCGCACGGACGCCGCCGTGTTATCTGTTACGGCTCGTTGGTGGCGCTTGCTACGACGGTGGCGGTGCTTGGGACGTCGTGGTGGACGCCGATCAGACGTCCGCGGTTCTCGAGGTAACGCTCGGCGATCGGCTATGGATGACCACCCTGTGGCCGTTCTTCGTCACGAAACCGTCGCTCTCGACCAGGACCGCGGTCTGCCTGACCCGTGGATCGGTGTCGGCGTCGTCGCTTTCCTCGCTGGGCCCGCCTAGACGCTGCTGCTTGTGCTTCCTCCAGGCATTCTGGATCAAACGCGCGCAATACTCCTCGCGCTGGCGCCACAGCGTCGAGGAGACTGGCTCGTAACCGACCTCGCCCGGACGCGTCTGAACCTCGAGGTCGGACGACTCCTCGATCGGGTTACCCTTCCGCGCGAAGAAGTCCTTGGTAAGAGCGTCCAGGATGTCCACGCAGAACATCATATCCCCTTTGCATATAGGGATGTCCATCGAGACGATCTTGTACTTGTTCGGCTTGTGTATCTGTAACGGCGGCTCAAGCACGTCCAAGAACTCGGACAGCTGATCGTATCTGATGTACTGCGACCCGTCTGGATCGAACTGTTGCCAGATCTCGTAGTACATGTCGTAATCGTCGTCGGTCAGGCCCTCCTGCACATCCTCGGTGGCTTGCGAGTAATTCTCCAAGATCACGGCGATGTACATGTTGATGACGATCAGAAAGCTGATCACCAGGTACGAGAGTAGATAGGCGATGCCGATCGTGGATGAGCCACAGTTGCCCGGATATCCTATCTCGTTGTTCGGCTCCTGGCAGTCCTCCTCGTTTATTATACCGTCGAGGACGCCGTCCCAACCGGCGGACGTTGACATCTGGACACACGTTCGAGAATTTTGTTTTTTTTTTTTTTTTTTTTTATGTAATAATTACATCCCGTTACAGCGTCGGATGTAATTATTTTGGATCCGTGACGTTTCGCGTGAAAATCTTTGTTTAACACGCTGTGAGCCGCGGAAACTGGTTCAATTACCTGGAATAGCAATATCATCGACTGGCCGAACGTTTTGAAGTTGTACACATCGTCCAGCCCGCTCTTGTCCTTCACGTGCATGAAAAACGACATTCCGAAGATCGCGAAGATAAACATCACCAAAAACAGTAATAGGCAAATATTGAAGAGAGCTGGTAACGACATCGCCAGGGCGAAGAGAAGTGTTCGGATACCCTTAGCACCTTTCACGAGTCGAAGCACACGGCCGACTTTTGCCACCCTTACAACACGAAGCAACGTCGGCGATACGAAATATTTCTCAATAATGTCACTGAGAACCAGACCTAAAGAGAGAACACACACATATATATATATATATATATATGTATACACATTTCGTTACAATGATTCTTAGCGATAAGAATGTGGCAGTAAGGAAAGGATGAAATTTAAGTAAGTCGAGACTAGATTAAGTTAGTGTGATCTAGGTAAAAATGGTGCCTTCTAGATTCACGTGTGTTTCAGGTTTCCCATGCAGAGGAAAAGGATTATTTGTTTTATAGAGTCTAATTCATTCGTCGACTATAAAGTTAGATAGATATGCATTTCTAATTCTAGCTTGATCCGTAAGCGAGAGTGTTCTACGATGAATGACAGCGAAAAAATTGTGAGTGTTTCTCTGTTTCTCCGAAATTAGAGTGTTTGATACATGATTTAGAGAAAAAAAAGAAAAAAAATTGGATTAAAAGAAACGTGCATCACGCAGTTCTAAGAACTATCGTCGTCACTCTCTAATATTCTTTCTCAGCTACGTCCGACTATGAGAAAAGAGACAACATGCATTTCTCAGACTGATCGAAAAATCAGATAGTTGATTAAAGCTCGATCACTAGTTAGATCACACGGTGCGGCATGAGATAATAAAAAGAAAAAGAAAAAAAAATGTATCAATGTAGTAGTTAATTTCGTGTTAGGCATTCGAAAGTTTGAAGATCTAGCAGACTAGCTCCTCTCTAAGAAGAAACTAAATTTGGAATAAAAGAATAACTCTCAATACAGACCCGCTCTTACCCAATTTTTTGATTAACAATCGTCTCAACACGTCAATCAAACACGTGTGAACCACCAGCCAAACACAACGTTACATCAAAATGCATTTTAAAATGTTGAAGCTTATGTCCGGATTGTGAAGTTAAGGTTTTGAAACGTTTATCATTAAAATATTAAATTTTTACTGCTCGTTTTCAAGATAAACCGACAAATTGTTCAGTCAATGAATCAACTTGAATGAGAGTTTTGATGTAATGTCGTATTTAGTGGACTGGACACATGTTCATAGGATTAAGGAAACGAGGATTGTAGAGGAGAGGGAACGTGGGATCACACTCAACATCAATGTAAGGCTACGTAACGTAATGATGCTGATCAGTCGTTGCAGCACACGTGAAATATTAATCCTGTACGCTTTACTCCTTTGCTAAAGGAGACATGTACTAAGTTCTGCGTGCGATAGAAGTAATAAATCGAACATGCACAGTTCCATTCTACTCGAGAAAGAGAGAGAGAGAGAGAGAGAGAGAGAGAAAGAGAGAGAGAGGGGGGAAAAAAGAGAGATCGTGTGATGAAAAAAGTTAACAGGATTATCCTTCTCATGGTCATGTGTCAAATTTCACGTGGGCCATACGACTGAACTAATCATTACATTACATTACCTAATATTGACAATATAACAACAACAAAATCAAAGAGGTTCCACGGCTCCTTGAAGTAGTGGTAACGTAGAGCGAAGATCTTCATGAGACACTCGCTGGTGAATATCACAATGAATATCATGTTCAGATAGTCCAGGACATCGCTGAACGTCTGAGTTTGCTGATAATGGTCCAACGTCATCGTAAGCATGTTCAGTCCGATGAACAACATGATTATCATATCGAACTTTTTGTCCGTCACTATTTCAAACACTATTGCCTGCGGCCGCCACTGGAAAAGAAAGAACGCAACGCAATCGTTGTTAGAACAAGGGGACGCTTTTGACACTGGCAAACGGAACTAAAACGGAGAGAATGATCAGAATTGTCACAACTTTAAGACAGTTGCGCAGCTGCGACAATTTTTGCGTGTTGAAAGTTCTGTCGAATTGAAACTCAAAATTCCCAATTAACGTTCAAAATTCAGCTTTAAAAGGGGTTTTGTTCCGATTGAAACTCGTAGGATTCAGTAAGATTGAAGAGGAAATTGACGACGATCGAAATTATCATTCATCAATCATCTACATACTCTCGGGCGTGGAATGGCCTTAAGTGGTTTCTTGCTACCCATTTTTTTCATAGCGTTGTAATATTTCTTCTGGTCTTCCGTCATGAACATCTCGAGAGAGCCTCCCGCCTTTTTCTTCTGCTCGTTGAAGTTGTCGATGATCACACCAATGAATAGATTAAGGGTAAAAAACGATCCGAATATAATGAAAAATACAAAATAGAAGTACATGTAGATGTTTGTTTCGCGGATTGGTTGTTTGTTGAGCTGCGAATGAAAACAAAAAAAAAAAGATGAATTGCGCTGTCAATTTCAATCCTACCAACTTTTCCAAATTTCGTTCGAACGTAAGTATTGCCAGTTTGCTCACCTCCCTGGAATCTATGGCATCGTTCATGATCTGGATCCATCCTTTAAACGTGGCCACTTGGAACAAGCACAGATACGCTTTCCCTACGTGGTCGAAATTCATCGGAGAATTCTCCCAGGTATAGTTCTCAGCCAAGCAGGCGTTTCGATCGGGGATTATTTCGTGGCTGAGCGTTGTTTTATTTGCGTCTACGCACTGTGAAATGAAGTAGAACGACGGCCAATTGTCAGTTGTTCGTTCATTGTTTCTTGTTTCACGCTCGAATTCCCATAAAATATATATATACACTATTGATCGACGAAGGCGAATACGCACCTTGAAATATTTGCCGGCGAAAAGCTGCACGCCCATAATGGCGAAGATCAACCAGAAGATAAGACACACCAGTAACACGTTGAAAATGGATGGAATGGCTTGAACCAAAGCGTTGACGACTACCTGCGGGACAAAACCAGCCGTTAAAGTAACCAGCAACTCGGTCTGAACCGTTCTTTCGACTTTTGTTTCTCTATAGTGCTCGAGTATGCGTTTCTATGCATTTCTACGCGTTTCTAGATACACGCCGTGTACATTACGAACTCATTATACGTAGTAATGTGCAATTAAAATCCTAGAGTCTTCTATTGCGGTAAAAAAAAAAAAAAATGTGAAAGAAACGATGAAACGTCGCGCGAAAGGAGCCAGAGATTTTGTACCATCGTCGTGAAACGTAATTGGAATAAAGTGAGATGCAAATAATAGTATCTAATGTATAAATTTCTCAGAATCTTTGGTTGTAGAAAACTACAGAAACTTGCATCTCGATTAATTTCTGATTATTCAATTTCTATCGAAGAACGTCGATAGAAATTTGAATAGTATACAGAGATTTTTCGTGTGAATTCTTGGGAGCACGAAGCGTACGACATCTCTGTTCGAATTCCGCTCGATTTTTCACAATTACACAGGATCAAATCAGGAAACGGAGTCGATAAAGTATCTCGGCTCGTATCTTTTCTCGTTCTTTTCAACGAAACGAATTTTGTTCACTCTTTGTCTCTTTATGGAACAGTAAACCGAGGTAAACCTTGCATACTTACTCCATCAACAATTATCACGTTCAATTTCGTTACAATTATGCCGCAAACGAACATGGATATGTATATATATGAATGTACCAATAAAAACACCGAAATCACAAGTCTCCAGACAATTCAAACAGACAAAGAAAGTAGAAAGAAGAGAAAAATAATAATAAAAAAAAGAGGAGTCATGGCGAACACAAGAGTGCCTACGCGTTCGCGGAAATCCATGGACCTGTTTAAAAAAAAAAAAAAAAAAAAAGAAGAAGAAATATTGAGAAGGAATTAAACTATCGATTTGCCTGATCATTGATCGATGTGACGTATGGTGCTTACACTTTCGCTGAAAAATTTTCAAGTAAATAAATATTTTATGTTTCGTATAAGTATCGTTACAGACGACTGCGATCGTTAGTGAACTGAATTATTAAAATCTCCAGTATATAATATTGTAGATCTCTCATAAAATTTAGTTTTTCGCGAATTTGTAAATTATTCTGAACTGGCAACGAAAATGAGAAATTCCGCAGCAAATTGCTTCCAACGCGTCAAACAACACCAGCTGATTTGATTAAAAATTAAAATTATAATTACAATACTGTCGTCTCTCAGGAGAATTTTGTTTCGTCCACTCACAAATTTTTCAACGGCAGTGTCTATTATTAATATACTGTTTCGAGACCAGGATTACAAAGTGTGCACATAGAATTCACACGGAAATAAACAGGAAATAAAGCCAGTAGCAATGTACACGCACAAAGCATACCTACAAACAGTGAAAGCATTCTTTCTCGACAATTCGATGCATTGCGATGTGCGAGAGTTCTTAGCGAGAGTTTTAAGCGGCAAGCGACGATCCCATGCAGAAATAAAGAAAGGAAAAAAATCAACGGAAAGATAGCCGAATGATATATATATATATATAATATATATAATATATCATTTGTGTTACAGGTTGTGTGCTTATATTATATATAACATATATATATATATAATGTTATAATATATATTTATGTAATATATATATTATATATAACGTATATATATAATGTTATAATATATATTATATATTTATATAATATATATAATATTATATATAACATATATATAATGTTATAATATATATTATATATTTATATAATATATATAATATATATAATATTATATATAACATATATGTATAATGTTATAATATATATTATATATTTATATAATATATAATATATAATATATTATATATAATATATATGTACGTAGATAGGTTATACTGAAGAAAAAGAAAAAAAAAATGAAAAAATAGTAGCTAGGAACTACTGTATAATAAGATAGGATAAGACAGTGTCAGGGTGTGGGCATGACAGTAACTCTACGCCCAGTATCTCAGCGACCTTGTATTACAGTTATGTAGAATCATTTTATGTCTGTAATGAGATATATAAACTTGTTAAATTTATTCAAAGAATGATAAGTCACTAAGTATGTTTTGATGTATAGGTATATATATATATATATATATAAAAATACGTGTGTTCTTGTTGCTTACGTATCGAGTTATGTTGAGACTAGCTGTTTTTTCTAGATGAGGCACGTTTTGTTTCAAGGCTCGTTGAATTAAATAATATATAGATCTAAATACACCGCCGTTCGTAAATCTCGCAGAAATAGCCATGATTTTCTCGTCTCGTTGACTTGAAGGGGAATTGTACTTAAAAGCGTGGCTTATCGAAATTATCGAATGAGAATTGAAAGATATTTTTTGGTATCTTATTGATTTCTTTTTCTATTAATTTAAGTGACAATTAATAAGGTGCTTGGAGAAAATGATTTAAAAACAAATGTCACAGAGTGTTCCAGATATTTTCCATTACAGACACCTGTCACTATATAATTCTGTAAAAAGTAATGACCAAAAATGACCATAACTTTTTTAATAAAGTGCTCAAAAGTGTATCAGATTTGTGTCGTGCTCTTTCCTCATTTTTATTCATTAAAAAAAAAAAAAAAAATCCTGGAACATTTCGTTCATAAAAATAACCGTTCTTCGTTTTCCTGTTTGAAGATAAAAATTTCAGACTTCTTCGGGAACAATCATTAATTAATCAAAGTTCGAAACATCTGTGAAATTTTAATCGTTTAACCTTCCAAAGATATGCAACGAATAATTAATAATAAATATTATTAATCGTTCATCCTGCTCCTTTTTACGAAAAACGCTCGCTTGGTCCAAAATTTACGAACGGCAGACTACGTGTGTTCGTCTAAGGTGCATACCTCGCGAGAATTATTCAATAAAGAACGAGTCTACGTGCCGTTCAAACATTTGCAGTTTTAAGCTCAAGTGCATTCGCGATCGCCCTACTTATATGTTCACGTGCAAAAGGAATCGAGCCTTCGACACGGCGAGACCGAAGAGTTATTCTGTTTTTAGATCCTTGGATCGATCAACATAAGGAAACAAGTTCTAATATAAACAGAGCTAAACGAAACATTCTCTCTAATGTGAAACTCAAATCGGCCTCTTTGTCGAGTCTCGCGATGAGAAAAGAAATAAACGGTGCCGCCGTTTATAAACTAAAATTCTTTTCTAATCATCTAATCATCATTTCGTTCATCAAATGAGATCTTTATTCTCCTTTTATTGGAACGTTTTTCTTTTTTTTTCTTTTTGTTTTTCTCTATTTCCAGTTTCAGTCAAGCTTGCTTTCTTTCGGATAATTCGACGGCACCGAGAGAATCCAAATTGAGAATTTGAACGAATCGAAAATTGTCAACAGAGTTGGGCATCGTTCAATATATATATATATATTTTTTTTTTTTCTTTTTTTCATATAAGAAATACTCTTTTGAAAAATATTTTCTGTCGGCTATTGTCGAACAGTTTCAAAGTTTAAACAATCAAAAAAAAAAAAAAAAAAAAAGAAAAATCAAATTTGCTCAAACAAAAATTCTAAAAATACTGCATTCTATTAATTCTAGTTATAGTTCGATAATTTTAGAGAATTTCAGCTCGTTATGATACTTATGAATATAACAATCCAATGATTCTAATCAATTCCAGATTATTCGATTCACGCATTGCTCGTCGTAACAATTCATTAACGTGTCATAGCAACTTCATAATAAAAACTTCATAATTGGGTTTGAAACCCAAGTGAAACTTGTTGCACGATTGCGCAACGGATTTTCAATGACGTGCGTGCCCAACTCAGAGGCTCGATTCGCCCACGCAAAGAGAATGATCGGATTCGATCGGGAACATAATAAAGAAAATAATCGGCAAGGTCTGCTGAGACTGTGGGCTACATACCCGCATTCCCTGCATTCTAGACATCGCCCTGAGTGGCCTTAGGGCCCTTAGGGTCCTCATTGTTTTGAAGGCTTGGATCCCGCCAGCGCCACAGAGCGACGCTACGAAGTTAATGAGTGACACCTGCGAGCGAGAAACGAGAGCGGATCACAGCAACAGATAGACAGGCTACTCGCGATACGAATTCATCATCATCATCATCATCATCATCATCATCATCATCATCATCATCATAATTCTTATCACTATCATCATAATCAATAATCATTTCCAAACTCCCAAATACTTGAAAGAGGAGAAGAAGAAGAAGAAGAAGAAGAAGAAGAAGAAAAACGAAACTTCAAAGAGAAAGATAAAGAAAAAAAAAGAGAGAATAGATAAGAACAGAGATAGATAGAGAGAGAGAAGAAGAATAGATATAGATGAAGAAAAGGGGTTAGGAGGAAGTAGAGGTTGATTGGTTGACGCGTCAATTCGTGCTTTTCTTTTTTTTTTCTTTTCATGGTCTCTTTTTCGTTTTTTTTTTTTCTTTTTTTTTTTTTGTTCTCTCGATTTCCCGTCGATGGATCGAGGAGTCCTAGTTGTAGCGGATTTAAAGTAACACAGGAGTCCGTCCCATCTGTGGAAATCGTTCCATTTAAAAATAGTGTATGATACACATCGTAGATATACAACAAATATCCAGAGCAGGGGGGGGGGGGGACGAAGACATTGATAGAAATCAGATATATGGCACACGTAGCGGTTCACAGTGAAACAGAGAAATGGACGTCGTCTCACATCTGTTCGCGTACGATCGTTTCTTCGTAAGGGGATATTTCTTTCGATTAATCGTTGAACTGATATCTCATTTAAGTTTCGTTTTGTTGCATATCTTTCTTCCTGATTATTCTGCACTGTATCCCAAGAATTTGAGGGAAAATTCCAAATGTCTCAATAGATAATAAAAGTGTTGATATTTATGTTTTTACGTCCTCGACTCTGAAAAATACGATTGCACGCATACAGACGTGTACGATCAACAATGCAGAGAGCAATGAGTTGATGAGAGAGTTATTATCGGTTGCGAGCATGATCATCGGCTCCGTCCTGAAACAGATGAAAAGGTTCGTCATACCACCTGCCACAACGCATTTAGGTATCAATTTCACGTCGTCAGATTGAAGAATTCGATAAGACGATCGAGAGAAATTCTCCATTTTCATTTCGCACACTATGACGAAAGAACTAGCTAACGTAGATATTTCTCAGAAATTTCCATTTTGTCATTTAAAGGTTCAGAGAATCTACTAACTTGAATAAACAAACAAAGCGGATTGTACGTTGTCTAATTTTCTCTAATTATTCATATTTCAAGATCTTATCTCATGTACTAACGATAAATTTTTTGCCAACATTGTCATTATGGGATACATTTTATGCCCCGTTATTATTCGTGCAACGTAAGATGATACCGTAACGCGTTGCAACGTTAAAAAAATCAAAATCCTGATGACCAAGTTTCCAAAATTACACGCGCATATAATATAGTATACGTAGTACAGACGCGTACATTAACACACAAGGAAGATTATACATTACACACAAAGCAATATAATATGTATATATGTATATATATATAAAATATATATATGTAATTCATATGTATAGATACACGGTACTTTGCACAACGATCACTGTGTCAAAAGAGACTGTTTAGGAAAGGCGTACATCGGCATTAGCTAGTACGACAAAAAACTCCAATACCAGTGCAGACACCAAGTTAGAGACACCAGTGTACCTCTGCACACCGGAAAGCACACCACAGAGTAACAACGCTACAATCGCTGCAGCGATCATGTCCACCCTCGTCACTTGTTCTCGGTTTTTACTGATTGTTCCCCCTCCTCTCTATTTAACTTTCACTTTTCCCCGTTTTTTCTTTCCTCCTATCGACCCGTTTGGGAAACCAAAGCCTTCGGTGCAAACGTGACGGAGCGAGCATCGACGAATCAATTCTCCATTCATAGTAGTAAAGAGTCATCCAATTTTGGAAAAAAAAAAAAAAAACGATCACGCAGAGATTGTTTTCACATATTGTCACTCGAATAATATCATAGAAGTTTGATAATTGATAATCAATATCAATAGGTGTGTATGTAATGTTCACAAATTCTTGGACGAACGTGTTAAGGGTTGCACGAGATCTATTTCATATTCCACTTCTCTATGAAATATCGTTCTTAAAAAAGGTTCTTGGTCTCTTTTTATAGTATGTCGTTTTATAATTTTTGTGGTATTTAATTAACGTTCGACTACTTCGTTTATTTAAATAATCAACGTAATATTCAATCAACGACACATTTCTTGAAATTTGATTCAATCCTCCATAATATTATTATTATTCACCTCTTGTCCAGATTAGAATTATTCCAACAGCATTGTAAAAAGTTCCTCAGTTACAGAAGTCAGTTTATCCTAAACTTGCGAAATTCAAGAATAAATTAAAAATCTACAGAGTTTGTCAAGTGTATGTAAGTCACATTTAAATTCCATGACGACTGTATTAAAAATAGGTTACAAGTCTCAGTGACAACGATGAAACAGTAATCCGTCAGATTTGCACGATCGGACAATGGTCGCCGAATAAGACCGGTCTTTTTCGGTGTTTTTTCTTTTTTTTTTTTTTCTTTTTTGGTTTCTTGTCGGCCGATGACTTACTCTCATGCCCTCCCATCGTGACACGGCTCGTAAAGGCCTCAAGGCCCTCAGTGTTCTCATGGAACGGAAGGCCGGGATGTCGGCAGCGCCTGCCCAGATGGCGCCCAAGTTGATCAGTGAGAGCTATCATCATCATCAAATATCGATCAGATGGAAGGTGAGACATGACACATGACATATATAACGTTATTTATACGTAGACGGGTTTCTACAATTAGTAATCCACCACGAGAGAGAGAGAGAGAGAGAGAGAGAGAGAGAGAGAGAGAGAGAAAGTTTCCACGTTGAGCTCTTCTGCTTCGCGAACAGGCTTTTTTTGATATTGGTTGGGAGGAGAAGAAGAAGAAGAAGGTGAAGGAGACACTTCGTCATTCAGAGAGATCTTGAAGATGGGACTTCTTTTCTTTTCTTTTCTTTTTTTTTTTTTTTTTTTTTTTCTTTTTGTCTGCGTTTCGAAACAAGTTTACAAAATTTCTCTCGCAACGTTTAGACGTTTTCAAAGAAAGATTATCTCTGTAGATTTTTTTTTTTTCTTCGGTTTCGTTATTTTCGCAAAGTTATGTACTATATACAAGGTTGTTAGATTGGCCGTTGAAGGAACGTACTTTGTACAAGTGTCTTGATATTTTCATTGTAAGCTTGTTTCTGTTTTCGGGGAGGTAGACGAAGTTTAGCTGCGGTGTAAACTAAATTATCAAGTAGATTATTAAGTAGATCGTAAAAATATTATAATTGTAAGTATTTCTTTTTCGCGTTAACCCTTTGCGGACGAGGATTTTCTAAATTTTGCATCGATACGTTTCTTTGTCCTTACAGCGGTAGAATTCGCTTGCAATTTATATTAAAATAACGTAGTCAAGTAATATCGTTGTATTATAGATGATTATAAAAATTTATGTTAGATCACTCACTGTTTTGTTTATCTGTTTTGTAATTTTATATAAATTCAATTTCAAAAGTTGAGTAATTTAACTTTTTTTCAACGATACCACTTGCGAATTAAAAAATATGAATAAAATTTACGGAAGTATATGTAAAAGCGACATTTGTCCGCAAAAGGTTAAAAATGCTCATGTGAGTAATCGTTTATTTTATTTCATCAAAGAATCTTTTGTGAAGAAGAATAAAGACTAAGTTAAAAATTTTTCTTGAAAAGAAAAAAATGATTACACACATTTAGATTATATAATAAACTATATGGCGTGACAGGATCGATCGAGTAAATGTGACTTACCATGACAATGATGAAATCAAGCCAGCACCAAGCGTTCGTGAAGTACTTTTTGAAACCGAGAGCCAACCATTTGATTAACATTTCGAGGAAGAAAATCACAGTAAATATTCGGTCCATGTAGTACAAGATATCTTGCAGAATGGGTCGTGATTGAAGATGCACATCTTCCAAGGCCTGGAACATTAAGCGACACAGATTTTACAAGTGTGAATTATATATATATTTTCTCGTTATAGAAAAAAAATAAAGTTAAAGAACACTCTTCCAAAATCTAAACTCTTAAATACATTCTTAATTGTGATTTATAAAATAAAATAATAATAAAAAAATTTGTGATTTATAAAATAAAATAATAATAAAAAAAATTGTGATTTATAAAATAAAATAATAATAAAAAAATTGTGATTTATAAAATAAAATAATAATAAAAAAAATTGTGATTTATAAAATAAAATAATAATAAAAAAAATTGTGATTTATAAAATATAATAATAATAAAAAAAATTGTGATTTATAAAATAAAATAATAATAAAAAAAATTGTGATTTATAAAATAAAATAATAATAAAAAAATTGTGATTTATAAAATAAAATAATAATAAAAAAAATTGTGATTTATAAAATAAAATAATAATAAAAAAAATTGTGATTTATAAAATATAATAATAATAAAAAAAATTGTGATTTATAAAATAAAATAATAATAAAAAAAATTGTGATTTATAAAATAAAATAATAAAAAAAATTGTGATTTATAAAATAAAGTAATAAAGAAAAAATTTTTCGTTATAGAAAAATATAAAGTTAAAGAACACTCTTCCAAAATGTAAACTCTTAAATACATTCTTAATTGTGATTTATAAAATAAAATAATAATAAAAAATAATTGTGATTTATAAAATAAAATAATAAAGAATGGAAGACGCGAAATGTACTTACGAGAGCCATACTACTCAAAAGGATCATCAAAATGACGGCAGTCTCAAAATACTTGTTCTCAATTAGTTGGAAGGTCTTCAGTCTCAAGTTTGCCCAACCCTGCCAAAATGGAGCGTCATCGTCACCAGCTAAGAACGGGAATTTCTTGTAACAGTTTTCTGGACAACAGTCAGCCGGATAGTCGGGCTCGATGGGATCTTCATCTGCTTGGATAATTGCGTCCCCTGGGATACCATCCTTATCCTCTCCCTCTTCTCCGAGATCTTAAAAGAAATTTTTGAAAATAATTCTTTCGTTTACTATGAGAGATCTGTCCTAGAGATCTTTCTCAGAATGAGAATAAAAATAATTGAAAAACAATTCTTTTGTTCACCATGAGATCTCTGTAAGATCTCTCCTAATTTTCGTTTTTCATCCAGCATTAGTTTATTATATTGTTCGAGTTCGCAGTTCATTACTAACTAAATTTCAATTTATCATTTAATCTACAAATTAAAACTCGTTTCAGGATATTTCAACATTTTACCTTCTTCTTGTTCCAGGTCTTCTTTGCTCGCATCCTTCTTCTCTTCTCCATCCAGCGAGTCCATACTTCCCTTGTGACTTTCGTCCTTGAACGCTCTATTCTTGTGGCTGCCATACGATTTATTACTGCGCAAAGAGTACCAGGAAAAAAAAAAGAGAGAGGAAACAAACACGTGTGTGATCAACTCAATTTATCACTGAAACAATTGCCTTTCAACAATAATTAACAATGGCTAGAAATCTAGAAAAGAAATTCACCTGATGGTATCGTCCTCGTTATTAATATAATCGTTGTCCAGCCTGTAGTCACGATGGTTTATCGAATTTGCTATAACTTTGCTGTTGTTCATGCACAGTTTACCCTTCTTCAACTTATTCTTTAGATCTCCTTTGAAAAACGAAATATTATCTCATTTAATTATTTATAAAATCGCAAATATTATTGCAACGAACGAACATTATCATGTTATTATCACACGATAGAAGAAAGTTTAAGAGGCACATACAATGATAAGAAAATATAAAATATATACTTTAGAATACTTTACTGTTACTTTGTCATATGATAATCAACTTCAACTCAACAAATGTTTCAGTAATATTATAATTATAAAATGTACTTCAGAATATTTTACTGTTACTTTGCCATATGATAATCAACTTCAACTCAACAGATGTTTCAGTAATATTATAATTATAAAATTATAATTATAAAATATACTTCAGAATATTTTACTGTTACTTTATCATATGTTTAGTAATATTATAATTATAAAATATACTTCAGAATATTTTACTGTTACTTTGTTATATGATAATCAACTTCAACTCAACAGGTGTTTCAGTAATATTATAATTATAAAATTATAATTATAAAATATACTTCAGAATATTTTACTGTTACTTTATCATATGTTTAGTAATATTATAACGTTTTATTTTATTAATGCACAGAAAAATCCATTCATTGTGATATATGACAGCTAAACAATTTCAAGCTGACGATTCTGTCGACGAAAATCATAACGTGTAAAATTAAGATATATGATAATAAATAAAAGAATTATTAATATTAGTAAAATATCTATCGAGTCAGGATTAATCCAATCTTCTACGAGGATTAAATTAAAGGATTACTAAATACGTAGAATACATAGAATCGAAGAAAATATTCCTTCTTCCTCGACACGCTTACCATGAATAGTAAATTCCATTCCATCCCCGATAGCAACTTCGAGTTGGTTTAACTCCTTGGCACTCTTTTTATCTCTATACGCATCGAGCTCGCCATCTGCAAGATCTAGGTCCCCATCGCGATCAATTCCATCTGCACAGTCACACAAAATCTCTAACCCGCCCTTATCAGAACGATTTTGTCAAAAAATATTTTTTCTGCATGGAATTCTTCTTTAACTATGCAATTGTCGATCATTTATTTTTTTTTTCTCTATTCGAAGATATTTAAGAAAAAAAAAATATATAAAGAAATACTGTACTCTGTTATATATTTCTTTCTTTTTCCTTTTTTTTTAACAGAATTTTTATATCTTTTTTTGCTTCATGCAGTATCTTTTTTTTTTTTTTTTTTTTTTTTTTTTGTCTAACTTCTTGTAACGATATTGTATCATACTAATTGTAAGAATTGCTATAAATTAACGACGGTGTACAAGTGTGGCTAGTTTTAATACGCGATACATGATGGATTATGTTGTAGTAGTTTAATACTAGGTCAGAATCGAAGAAGGTGTAATTGCTTTTCTTTTCTTCCTTTGTTGCAAAATATGAATAATAAGCAGAAATTGTAAAAAACAGAAGAGAATACGACATCATTGCTTGAAAACATAATGCAAAAATTGACGAGCAATTCACTGTAAATAGTAATGTAATTTTGGCGTATACATTTGTATGTTCATTGTTTCAGTTGGATGCCATGAAATAAAGTAACAATGATTTTACATAGCTACGTGAACTATGTAAAATATTGTTCGCAAAAATCTTTCTCTTTACTGAACTGAATTATTGAAGATGACAATAAAATTATAATTAATTTAATATAGAAAATAATAAGTAAGTGAATTAATCATTAATTTATTTTGTATATACTTCAACTGATAATATTAATTATTTAAAAATTTTACATCAAAAAGATCATGTAGCTTGCAATTTGTAAAATAAATTTCATTTCTGTTGTTGCTAGACTTACACACGACTACCATAAGAATTGCCATAAATATAAATAAATTCGTACGATTCAAACGTGAAATTTTTACGAATTTTTCGTTTCTTTTTTTTACTCACATTCGTTAAATACCTGACGAAAATTATTTCAGGACATCCAGTATGTATACTAAATATATTTCAAAGTTCATTTCAACAATATTCGCTACACATTTGCGATTAATTTAGAATTTTGTCTTTTTTAAATCCAGAGCCAGTCTAGATGAATCCAGATGTATCGCGCGATGCTCCAAAAATAATCTACACTCGATCGATATTGAACAAATTATTGAAGCGATCTTTTTCGTTTTTCTTTTTTTTTAATTTCATCGAAGAGACGAAACGTTTCCACTTTCTCCAAAACGTGAAAATAATAGGCAAAGCAACGTATAACTGCCAAGCTAATCAGCGAAGCAAAAATTAATCTATCCTCCATCGCTGCCCTCCTTCCTCTCTATCATCTTTAATCTTGCGACTCGTGGAAGAAACGTAGAAAAATAGCGAACTGATCAAAAAGTCTGCGTTCAAAAGATAGAAAAAAAAAGAAAGGAAAGAATCACCAGTCAACGTTCTCTCTCTCTCTCCCTCTCTCATTTACGTAAACAAATCATTTAAAAAAAAAAAAAAAAAAGAAAGAAGAATGAAATCCTATTCTAAAGGAAAAGCATCAAATCTAAAAGAGACCAATTGAATATTAAAAATGAAACTGATCTCGCTAACTATCCTCGCGCTGTTTCTTTCTCCTTTTTTCTAAATTTTCTCGCAAAATTATATTTTCTTCCCTCGGTTTCGTCGACTGGCGAAATAAAAGAACATAAAGAAACGAGACATTCGTTGTCGTTCGTTCGTTGATTTTTTTTCTTTTTTTTTCTCGTAAAGTGAAAAGCAGAACTGAAAAACAGTGCCACGAACTACAACAGCGCACACAGCAAGCGATCTGATTGGATATAAACCTTCTTTCCAACTGTTGGACGGTCCCTCACCTGGCGCCTGATCGGATATCTGATTGGTGAGTTTGGCTCGCATCATTTTAGCAAGATAAAGGACATTTCGCTTGATCCACTTAACGAATCGTGCTATTCGATCGATCGCCTCCGCGATCTTGTTCGTATCGTTGTCCGCGGTCGGCGCCGATAGATTCGACGAGCCGAAGTTGCTCAGCAACAACGCCAAGAAGAGATTCAGCACCTGTTCGTTGGCACATCAAACATGGTTTTTTTGCTTTTATCTTTAAACGACGAAGGGTAGAGATTGGTGTGGAGTAATTGGTGTGATGTTTAGGAACGAAAAATGGGGGATGTACGTGTGTACTCTCAAGAGTGAACGATTGCAGTTTCCTTTTTTTTTTCTCTCTCTTTTCAAGACACACAAATGTGAATTTTAATTTTGAATTAATTAGGAGGCAAGAGTTAAAAGATATACCTTCGGGTAGAACTTAATTCTTGAAAATCATAAATAAATACCGTGGAAGAGGTATGTGTCAATCTCGTACGTTGAATTTGAAAGAATTGAAAGATGAAAAGGAGAGACAGAATTGAAACATGTCGTACGTTGAATTGAAAAAAATTGTTGAGAGAAAGGAAGAAATTGATGAGAAGTCTGTGAGAAAGACAATGAGGTAATGATCGTAATAAAAATACTAATGTGAAAGTCCTAATGACCAATGACTTCGTAGATCTATGCGATAATATACACATTGGGCTGCCGGCTGATTTTTGTTACTAAATTTCATCTCGCGAGTCTTCAGTTTTTTTCAGTTCAACATACTTTGTTCCGATTAACCCTGAAAACTGGAAATTCACAAGAGATTATCACTGAAAATAATAAAACCTAGAGTCAGTAGTGGTTCATCGTGCCGTTCGTTCACGAGTTACCAATAGGCAAAGTGAAGACAAACCTTCTCGAAGGAGTAATTTAATAATAATTTGGAGTCCAAATCGATGGGTCAATTGTGTGTACTTACAACCAGATTACCGATGACGACAGTGGCCAGAAAGAACGGTATGCAAGAAACGTCGCCCACGAGCATACAGTCCCACATTGACTCGATCCATTCCCCGCAGAGTACGCGAAAAACGATCATGAACGAATGCATGAAGTCGGTGAAATTCCATCTTGGTAGATCCCCGTCCGGGAACCGGTCAACGTTGTCTGTGTAGTTCTTGCCGAACAGCTGCATACCCATCACCGCGAAAATAAAGATGATGATGCACAGCACGAACGTCAGATTACCTAACGCGCCTACTGTTCTGCCCATGATGGAGATTAGCAGATTCAACGTAGGCCACGATTTCGCCAGTTTGAACACCCTTAACTGAAAGCGGAAAGTGAGTTATTGACATTCGAAACTGAGAGAGAAGATGAAGGGCATAGATAAAGGGAAAAGTATTATACGAAGATCGTTCGACGGGCCGCCTTGCGCTGGCAACTGGCCTTCGCGGACCATAACGAGTGACCGTGTTACGTTCAATTTGTCGCTTTCTTTTTCTATTGAACTCGTCGGTGTGACGTCACTGGATAGAAGTTATTACGAGGTAATCAATTTGTCGTTTGTTTTGCCCGGGTTTTACATTTAAGTATACTTAAAATATACTATTTAAATATACTTAAATATATTTATATATATATTCTTAAATATATATCTAATATAACTTAAATATATTTAAGTATATTTATATTTAAATATACTTAAAACTGAGAAAATGTGGCAATTTGGAACAAAAAGTTCTCGAAAAGTTCTCAGTGGCCTGATTCCAGCGCAAGAGGTTAACGAGCAGACCGTGGATTTCTATGGATGAAGAATTTTAATCTGAATGAAAAAAAAAAAAATGTTCTATCTTCCGAATGTAATAACATGTATCGTTATTTTTGATACTGTTACTTTTATCATATGTTTTCCTGTACGTTTTTTTGAATATTTTTACGTCTATTATCATGTACTAAATCCGCAGTCTAATGATAAATCATATTTCCTCTTCTTTCTTTAACACTTAACTTACCAATCTGAACGATCGCAGTACGGAAAGACCCTGGACACCTTCTAATCCTAACTCCAGTAGCGAAAGTGCGACGATAATGAAATCGAAAATATTCCATCCTTCTTGAAAGTAAAATTTCGGACTCATTGCTATCAGTTTCAACGTAGCCTCGATACCGAACGTTGCCGTGAAGAACTACAATTATATACAGTTGTTAACGTCTCAGTTGGAAGAGAAGGAAAATATGAAATATTTTTGTATAAGAGAAAATACCAATTACTAATAAATATTCTATTAATAACAACGGAATATATATTGTGTATACGTGTAACATCGTCTATAAATATTTAATCACTAATTATATAATTATATAAAATATTTAATTATATAATATATATATATATAAAATATTTATATTATATATTATATATTTATATAAAATATATACAAATATAAAATATCTGCACTATATATTCTATATTTATATAAAATATATACAAATATAAAATATCTGCACTATATATTCTATATTTATATTAAATATTTGTATTATATATTATATATTTATATAAAATATTTATATTATATATTATATATTTATATTAAATATTTGTATTATATATTATATATTTATATTATATATTATATATTATATATTTATATAAAATATTTATATTATATATTATATATTTATATAATTATATAAAAGTATGTAAATTATTAAATAAATATATAAATACTCAAAATACGAGCGTAAGAACGTAGAAATCAGCGATAGAAAATTCTTCTTCGTAGAATAAGGATGAAACATTAACAGACGACGGTGTGTATCGTATGTATGCTAATGGCAAGTGTATTATAAGAATTCGTATCGCTTACGTAGTTTCCTGTCTTGAGCACCCGTTCCATATCCTTGTCCATGTCGTGATGATCGAGCGCCATGAACAACGTGTTGACGACGATACAAAGTGTGATGAATAACTCTACGAATGGATCGAACACCAAAAGTGACACGTATTTTTGAAACTCAAGCCACAACCAGCAACAGTCCCAGACGCAGAAGATATCGATGCAACGTAGAATCGCGGCCAACAGTTTGTCCTTAAACTTTGGCCCTTCTTCGTCGTCGTCTGTCGGAAAGTAATAGGTCGAAACTGTAACGCGTGTTAGTAATTTTGTCTGGCACCACTCTTTTTGGGGAAAGAGGTTTTCTCGTTCTTATTTTTCTCATCATCAAGCTTGCACAATCTCTTTATCATGATACATTCCTTTGCTTTCTTTTAGCCTCTTTTAAAACTCATTGGATCACAGATTATCAAATATACGAGTAAACAGGCAAGCGTGTTCTACGTATCACAGCGAAAGACGAAAGAAAACGAAGGGAAACTAAGAGAACTGGGAAAAACTCTACGGAGCTTTGGCAAAAGCAAACGGGAGGGGAAAGAAAGTGAAAGAAAAAAAGGCTACGACTGCGTCGGGAGCGTTTTTTTTTTTTTTTTTTTTTTTGCATGAATGTGCAAAAGCGGCAGGGGAACACGCGCAGCCCAAAAGCTGTGCAGGGAAATTTGTTGAAAAGAAAAATCGAAGCGGCCAAGTGGGTAGCAAGAGTGCTGCTGCATGAGTCGCTATGCGGAGAAAAAAAGGGGTAAAAACAATTTTATGGTAATCCGAGAACGTTCAAAATTCCGTGGACGTTCGATGTGCGATTGATCCTAGAAAGACTAAGCCGCGAGCTGTTGTTACTTTAATTTGCTAATTCTGCTACGTTTCGGAGTTGTATTTCATAACATAGATACTCTAAAGCTATTGGCACCTTTGATATATTAATTAGTATATTGGAATATGCCAAATGAAATAATTTTGCAGAACATTTGCATTATTTTCGTTATTTTCAATTCGGCAGGCTCGAAGAGTCCAAATATTTAATACGAAGGTACTGATATCTTTGAAACATCTGCTTCTAGGATTAATCGTCAATTGGTGGAACATAATACTGGTAGAATGGAGAAACAAAAATGAAAGGAAACATGCTATTTACAATCCTATTCCAAAAAATTGGAATTCCGAATATTGAATCTTCACATTGAAAACGAAAGAAAAGAAATTTGTGATAATGTCAATAAAAAAAAAAAAAAAAAAAAGAAAATCTCGTTCATTTACGAATAGAGAAGTCACGAGGATGGATAAATAATAATTAGAAGTGATATAAACAATAATTAGAAAAAGGCGAGAAACGATTGAAGGAAAAAAAAAAAAAGAAAATGAAAGGTGATGAAACAATCTGATTCGATCCTTCGAAACGTTGCTGTATTGGCTGTTGTGTGTATATTAGAGCAATCTAAGATCGATGTGCGACCAAGCAATACTGCTTGGCGTTCTCGCTGATTACGTCGCTTTACAAGCTCTAATCACACTTTTTAGTGTACTGTCGATGGCACGGCGAATGACGATAATCGTCCCTCGTGAAAGCTTTTCGATTCTACGTTGTTTGTTTGTGCGACGCAAGCAAACGCGGCGGTGCCCTCGAAGCGAGTGCCTTCGCGAAAAAATATTAACCATTAACATCTTCGGTACGGTTTGCTCGTCTGTTTGTTTCACAATACGAAGACAAAGCGAAACGCGAGATACTTTCGCAATAATTTTGTATTTTGAAAATACTCCCTCTTAAGGAGTAATTTCTCATTTTTAAAAATTTTTAAAAATCGGGAAGGATGAAAACTGTTATGTCGTTAAGACGTTGACTGCCACGCGAAAGTTACACTTTTTTTTCCCCTATTATATTTGTTACGTTGCACAATATTCATTGGAATATTTAGTTTTGTCATAAAGGCGCAATGAAGACGTATTTTACATATCCAGTTATAATATAAACATTATTATATTTTAATATAAACATTATTGTATTATAATATAAATATTATATTAAATTATATAATATAATATAAGTCATATAAATTATATAATATAATATAAAATATTTATAATATAAGTTATAATATAAACTTAAGTTATAATATAAGTTATAATATAATTATTTAAAATTTCATGTCGATGACGATATTCATTTTATTTTAATTACCCTAAAATATAATAAACATTTTATTTTAATTATTCTAAAATATTTGCAGAAATAGAAACGTTACCACCGTAGCAGTCAACGTATTAATGTCAAGCACGATAAATATAAATATGCAGCAATACCTATCGAATTTAGTTGAGAGTTTAGTTCGTACCGAAGATAGTTAAAACTAAAATTTCGCTGCAGTGTACGTCGGTGATCAGACGAGGAGCTGAGGCAAAATCCAGGCACGAAGCGACCGTGCAGCTGCAGCGAGGATGTTTTAATCTGTGTCGTATGTATCAGGAAACAAACTCTGTTTCCCCAAAAGAAAAACTACTACAAACGTTTTCACTTTTTCTTTTTTTTTTTTCTCGTTTCTCTGTCTCTGACTTTATCCATCCAAGAGTTCGAGGGTTTACGCACTGCAGTTATTTCATCGACGAATCTATTCATTGCGATTTAGATGATCGTTCATGTCGTGTATCGCCAGTTCCTTCCTTCTTTTTTTTTTTTTTTTTAAAAGATAATAATAAAAAATGGAACTTAGTAGGATCAATAGGAGTTATACCATGCACGCGTAGCACACGTTTGGTATTGTTATAACAGTGTTAGGTAATCAAAGAATTTCTGTCTTCTGTATATACGATAGTAAAGAATGATGATGGAAATATAAGAGATTTCCTTATATTTGCAGAATATGAGATAATTTCAGAAATTTTAAGAAAATTATTACCATTATTATTCGTTGCAAAGAAGTTTTACAATCACAGAAATATAAAATACCTATTTCTATTTTGACAAATGATACTTTCTTTTATAAAAAAAACGAACCATACAACTTTCTCCTGTACTTTATAAAATAGAACTATAATCTATAGTGTATATTACGTGTACTTTATAAAATAGAACTATATAATTTATAGTGTACATTACGTAGATTTATTTCAATGAACAAATATTTTTCTATATTTCTGCATCATTCATTCCTATCACAAAAGAAACGACAGAAGACTTTCCCAATTGCCTAGTGACGACCAATAATGAACAGAATAGAAACAATTCTTCTTGGTTACGACAGTCTGGACAGTAATTGTAAGTTGAAATTAAATAATAGAAAAAAATGAGAGAGTACAGATAGATATGTATATAACGTATAAACGTAATGTAGGAGTCGGTCTACTATGTACAAGGCGCTCAGACAAAAATCTTTCAGCACTGAATATTAAACGGAGAGAAAACTGTACAAGAGTCTCAACAGTGGTGTACATCAAAAACGATAGGATGCTCATCACACAAGAGATACACATCTGTGATTAAAGGGTGATAGAAAACTGTAAGAGAAAAAGATAGTAACGTGAGCGAATGAGCTAAACACTCGACATTACCTCCTTGCTCCGGTGTTCTGCTTTGTCGACCCGCCGCCTGTTCTATGATATCGTTCAGTACCATTACGTCTGTAAAAAAAGAATGTTTGCAGTTTGCCCTTTTCCTTTAGAGATTACACATATCACAATATGCAATACATCATTTTATACAAATTGTTACAATTTAGTTTATTGAATTTAACAAGTAAATTGTTGAATATTTTATTTATAGAAGATATTTTACACGTGGTTTATTTTTAAATGAATTTACCTTTCATATCAACCACGGCATGTTGTTGCGAAGGCTCTATAAACGGATTGTCTTGTTGCTTTGCCTTGCCCATGGGATCTTCCAGATCACCCTCCTGAAGATAAAATAAAATATTTATTTCTGTGATGAAAATTCCCCGTGATAATTGAGCAGTGTATAGAAAAGTGTATCTGACATCAAGCAGAACGAACGACGTAATTTTTACTACATTGTAATTTGCTAGATCAATAACTGTCTTACATTGCTTGAGACCGTCTTGAACTGTCCAAAAATAGACGAATCTTTCTCACAAGTAATTGCTGAAACGCCTCCGATAGTAATTACTGAATATAAATGAGGTAGGTTGATAAAAAAATTACAGTTCACATTTGTATAAGATAAAAGTGGAAGCATCTCCACCTGGACAAATCTAACATTTATTATAAGATATTCCTTTCGAAATAAGTTTCATGAAACAAGTTTCATTTGAAGAATTTTTTCGATTAATAAATAGTGTAGTAGGTAATTGTATGGAAGGATTAAAACATCTTGTACTTACATATGTCATATTGTATGACATTTCTATGTAATCCGAAATCTAAATTTTTTAGTAGCTTGCAATTTCAATTACCTAATAAATATACACTTGATTTATTCTTTTATTTTAAACAATTCGGAAATTCAGTACATTGCAAAAACCAATTAAATGAACACTAATTTATAATTTATTGTACATTATGGAAACAAAGATAAAATAGTGTACATAATTAAAAAAAAAAAGATTATTTTTACATCGCGATATCTTTAATAGTTAAAAAATTATAAATGAATATCACCAAAATCTTCAACCTTGTTGTTATTATTATTATCATTATTACATATAACAATTCGTATCACGTGAATCGTATAACTGAATCAACGAATAAATTGACGAATAGTTATTTCTTGTTAGAGACAGAAAAAGTGTTCGCAATTTTGAAAAATTATTAAAATTTTTCAAAGTTGCAAATTGATGTGCGTCTTTGTTGTGTATTTTAATATTAACGGTAATGAAAAATGATTTACATGAAATATATAGTTACTGATTCGGTTATACTCTGCATTGTATATTATTGTAACGTATATATATATATATATATATATATATAATATATAATAATGATAATGATATATATAAATAATATATATAATACTGATATATATAAATTAATATATATAATAATGATATATAAAAATATATCATAATATATATAAATTATTATTATTTATAATATATATAAATTAATATATATAATAATGATATATATAAATATATAAATTAATATATATAATAATTATTATATATAAATGATATAAATAATAATGTATATTATTGTAACGTGTCAAAAGATATATATATATATATATATATAATAATGTGTATAAGATAAATTCTCAAAATTTTACCCATTCTTGGACAGTATGTTGGCAATTGCCTACCAACAGAAAAATTGGCAAGTTTTACCTACTCTTGGGCCCAAGAATTGAAAAAAAAAGAAACACTCCCTCCTGTGCCATTTCTCCTCCACAACTTCCTTCCCCTAGAAGAGTCGTCTACTCACGTAATGGTACTTCTGATTCGAGTCCGTGAAATGCCCGTTCACGGACGGCGGCCTGACGGATCTGATTCTCAGCTGGCTCTCCTTGGTCATCGGTTTGCCGGCGTTCGCGATCCCGCCGATCAGATCGCCGTGGGACGTGTACGAAAGACGCGAGGCGTGCGACGTGTACGACGAGTGCCTGGACCCAAGATTCGCGTAGTAGACCGGCACAACGATCGTGCCGTTCTCCTCGGACATCGGCGTCACCGCGTTCGAGTCGTCGGCGTAGGGCAGATGTTCCTGCGCGTCGAGGAACGTCGACAGGACCAGCGGTTTCCGGTCGCCTCCCGGTGGGCCGACGAAACGACCACGGCCGTTTCTGATCGTGAACTGATGGCTACCGCGGCTGCTTCGGCGAAGATTGAACGGTGAGCCAGGTAGACTAAGGCTCGCCTGAAATTACAACAAAGCGGGCCACCGCTTTTCTCTCTCACCGTCTCATCGAACCTCTTCCGAAAAGCGTGGTCAAAGAGGGAGGAAACTGTTTCAAGGGAGGCAGGGGTGAGGCAGGTGTTCCTCTCCTCGTTCAGTTTCGCCCCGTAATGTTAACCCTTTCGAGCCCTACGAACCAACTACTTTCCGCTACTTTCGAAACGGACGTCGTTCCGCGGAACTCCGGTCTGTCGGACATATGTACATACATCTCGAAATGGAAATCATGTCACGCGCGCGAAACAGTTTCGAGAAAGTTTGTGATCATTTTCGTTGAACAAATATATGCGCTGTGGGTCAAGGGGTCAGGATAGCTTGAAATTTTCGAAAAGTCGATTTTTTTTTTTTTTCTGTTTTGTTTTAAATAGTAGTTTGAAGTCTTGGAAATAAGAATAGAAATGGTCCTAGCCTTTGAAACGACTTATTTTGGGGTATAATAGTAAATCCGCGGATACAGAATCATTGAATTTGTATATATAGTATAATAGTAAATAGTAAATAGTATAATAGTAATAATAGTAAATAGTATAATAGTATAATAGTAAATCCGCGGATACAGAATCATAGAATAGTAGTAAAGTAGTAGTATATCATTGTATAGTAGTAAATAGTATAATAGTATAATAGTAAATCCGCGGATACAGAATCATTGAATCGCTGTTTACAACTTTAAGCAGTGTTATAAAGTGTAAATCGTGTGATTCGAATATTACTTTTGGTGAATCGAATATTAGGGGACTTGGAATCAAGTTTAGTTGTGAATTGTAAGAATTGTGAGCCGCGATATATAAGTAAGAAAAGTGAGTGAAGGATACATGTGAAAAATTACGTACTGAAACTTTAAACGCGTTTTTCTCGAATCTAGGTTTTTAGAAACGGTGCGCAAGTTTACGTATCTTTAATGTAACATTTACTAAGGATTGACGATCGAACATTTTGTAATTTTTAACAATTTCCAAAAATACAAACAAAAAACGTAGAAATTTCTGGCACAAATTCGATACGTCAAAAACAAATAGTTGCTGTTTTCATATGTTTCACAAAAATATAAATGTTGAATCGTCAATCCCTAGAGAATATTATTTACTTTTGAACTTTTTTTTGCCTTTTTGTTGCAACTAATTCTGTTTGGCTTGAAAATGCCGTTAAAAAGTTAAATAAGAGCCCTCTTTCTTTCCTTTTTAATGTTGCTTTTTATAGTTCATAGTGTGTTAAAATGAACCCTTTTTGCTAGCCCTCCAAAGTATTTGTAATTTTTAGGCCCGTCAAACTGTCCTGCCCCCTTAAATCGCAATTCGCAACGATTGCAAGTGACCGAGTTATTGTAATCATTGGAAAATTGAATATTCCTCTCTCTTGTAAAATCTAATAGATTTAAATTGTTATAAATTGGTAGACATTGCGTTGAAGTTGACTTCTTCAAAACGTAACTTCGAATAACGTACAGGATGCAAGCGTGTTTTGCAAAATACAGCATCGAGGGGAGTCTGATTTTCTCCGTGGGAGAATTACATTTAAATTGAAATTTATTACGCGCGAGTTACACTCTGTTCGATAGTACTACATTTTTCAGGGCATCCTGTACATCCTGTATCAGCTTTTTTCAAAATATATTTTTGGATCTAAAGGAATAAAATCGATATAATTATATCCTGTGAATTTATCTGTACGCGTTTCATATATATTCTGCGCGTAAAAATTCACAGTCCAATCAGTATATCGCTGTGCAATGATCAGGTGATCACGTAGTTCTCGTCATTATTTGTTCACAGTCTTTGTAAAAAAGACCAAAAACTTGTTCAGGCTTTATTCAGAAGATCTGTACCGAAAGGGTTAAGCGCCGCTTTTCCTACGGGGGACTCTTCGACGAGTCTTCGGAGGATCTATCAAACTCGAAAGCTCCAAACCACTTTATTGACAATGAGCTTTAATCCCTAGAACGAACGTGGAAGTTATGATCACCATGTTGAGATTAGAATCGAAGCTGAAATTGGCCCCTTCATTGGAGCGAGACAAAAGACTCCTATCTAGTAATTCTGGCATTGCTAATATCATTCTCGTGAGCTTGGACGCTACGTGAAGCTCAACATAGTACTCTGTGAGATGAGAATTCATGAATTGACGCGAGTCGTTACGAATGGTTCTAAACACTGAGACAACTCGTTAAAGAAATCAGTTAACGAAGAATGTTTGAGACTCTGAACATCTCGGAGTGATTTTTTTCCCCCCTGTGCAACAATATATTAATTCTTCAGTTACATTTTCTTTTTTTTTTTTTTCCAAGTGAAATCGATCTGAATGATTGACCAGTCGATCAAAATGTTCTTGATCAAAATTAACTTTAATCAATTCTCCTTTGAACGATCAAAAATGGTCAATTGACACAGTGGAGGGCAAAAGAAAGTTTTTCCAATAGGGACTTGTGAACTGCTCTGAACTATACCTTACGTTTATTCGTTCACTCGTCCATTATTGTTTTTTATTGTGTTTCATTTTGCTCACACTGACTTCATTAATTGAAAAGCAAAGAAAGGTGACAATGTTAGGGATTGTTTTTTAAATTTACTTTGGAGTTCACATTGTCAATTGTGCGTTTGTATATTTCTCATCATAAATAAGAAATGCGGGATCAGATAACTTCATTTCTTAAGAACTGAAGGTAACTTCATTTCTTAACTATGAAACTGGTAAAAAGTGAAGTCTCAGAGGCTCGTATTATCTCAAAAAAAAAAAAAAAAAAATCTCTTCGATAAACTTTCAATGTTCTTTCATTTCGCTTCAGATCGATCTCCACGCCAGCAAATGCAAATGACAAAAATATATATATTTCCACTCCATATAGAGAAACTCCACTCCGCGAACCGTCGAATCTCCAAGCATCCTTTAAATGAACAATAAATGATCCTCTAATGGCAACGAAGTTTGACTCGATAAAAATCGTTCCAACGCGTGGGAACCGTTCGACGATCGATGGTGGTTGGTTGTCGACATGAAATTGTTCGGATCGTGGGATCCTGTACAGGCTATTTAGTACGTACGGTCGGCGGTGACAGACACGTCGTGACACACATACCTTCCGCAGGCTTTCCTGGTAGGCATAAGTAAACTGGCCATTAGCGGCGCGAGAGACCTTAAGAAAAAAACAAGAAAAGATATCTCCTACCAAACGGCTCGTAACGTTGTCTAATGTGTACACCAAGGAGGCACTCGATACGGATATATATATATATATATAATATATATATATTCATGTATGTATGTATGTTTTTATATATAATTACTTGCAAAAGCGTTACATACACAAAGAAGTGATAGAGAGATAGAGATAGAGATAGAGATAGATAGAGAGAGAGAGAGAGAGAGAGAAAGAAAGAAATAGAGCATGATGTTATACACGCAGAGACAGAATGATACAGACTGTCGTCGCAACATATTAGGGTAAAAACGATGGAACAACGGTTGATCGAATGTCGCTGTTTGTTGAAACGAATGTAAGGGAGACACGAAGATCCGCGGTATCTATATCGAAGTAGTTGGAATAGCTTTTATGGAATACCATAAGCTATTTTAATAGCTTCTTTTCACGGGAATATTTTCTATCTAGATCCTTGTAGGTAATGAATTATTAGGGATTTCTTGATGTGAGGCACGTTTCTTTGGAACGTGGATCCGACACCTTGATACTGAGTCTTTGTACGATACTATGAAGAGAGGCTTTCATTCTTTGGGGCTTAGGAAGTAATATTACTATAGTAATATTATTACAGTAATTTTACAGTAGTATTAATACTAGCCTGATTATTATTCCAAGGTCAAAAATGTAGCTTTTTTATTCTCTTTTGCAGTAATTGGTTTGTTCTACAGACAATACGTATAAACTATAATTAAATTAAATAAAACAATTAAATAATTATATAAATTAAATTAATTAAACTATAATAAATTAAAATGGCATTCAACGCTGAAATTATCGTCACTGCCAACGATAATAAGACACCTAAACATGATAATAGACTATTTCCAAAGTAACAGGTCCACTCTTCAAAGATACGTGCTTCTTGGAAATCTCTAACAATTTGTATAATATATCAACACGTTACTAAATACATGTTAAAACAGAGATCTTATTCATTCAACCTTCTTGGGAATTTTTTCCTCCAGCAATAATGCCTTTGGCTAACGTTATGTAAAACGTTAATTCGTTCGTTACATGATCATCAATTAAACGATGAAAACGTTGAAACGTGTTCGTTAAAGGCAAACGTGTTGTTTTCAGATGTTAATCACGTTTTAATCCTGTTTTCGAATCGAAAATTCGTATCTCCTTTCTCTACTACACACATGCGTTACCATGCAAGACGTCACAGAATGGCACGTTAATTTACGAATCGACTGATAACCTACTGTATAGTACTGTCAAACACGCGTCCGCGAGAATCAGACGGATGATGATGAAACCAAAACGAATGCAACGCTGTCGGAAATCATCAAACGCCATTCGAAAACCAAGACAGAAATCGGTGAAGAGAAGTTCGAAACGCAACGAAAAGCAAGGAGTTCAATAAGCGCACCTAACGATTTACCAAACTTTTTGTTTCGCTTACTCAACAATCGATTACAGTAATGTTTACGACAAGCATGCTACAGAGCGATAGATATAATATTTTATGAGAGGGCTCGACTCGTCGCTTTTTCAAACGCTAACTCTCAGCCTAAGTAGGAAAACGTTTTCCTCGTTTCAGAATTAAAACTATCCACCATTCTCATTCGCCTGCCTAAATTCCTATTTAGCTTCTACGTATGTAGTGTCTAGATCCTCGATCCTGCACAGAATTTGCCATTCGTCAATTGAGAAATGCTTAGCAAGACGAATCTGTGCCATTCCTGCCCTTCGAAATGCATCGTTGCAAGCAAACTAACAGAACAGAGCTGTCCACGTCGGGAGACTCTCGCTTCCTCCTCCATTCGTCGCAAGTTATCTTCAGTTGTGTCAAATTTGTCTTTAAGTGAAGCAAAAGTGTCCGTTTGGAATTCTGAGAGATTGGAAATTTCGAATTTTCGAAAGATTGGGAGTTGGACGTCTGAAGAAGTGGGAAGCTCGGGAATTTGAAAAGCGGAGTGATTGGAAATATTTCAAAATTTCGAAATTCTCGATTTCTGGAATAATTGCCCGTGTTATGACAGTCGACACTCTTTAACGTCCAGTGTTCCTTCATTTGGTAACAGTAAACTTTCTTTGCAAATTTTTCTAGAATCCACTCCTAAGTAAGTCGATTTCTCGGTGTTGGCAAAGCCCGTTGCACCGACTAGAGTCCTCAATTCACAAATGGAAAAGAATAACACGGCCTCCCGTGGACAGGCCTGTGTAGACCATCATAAGAACAGTCGTGAAACCGTACTAGCTGTACCATACCAACTGGAAGGATCGGAATAAAAATAAAAAAAGCGTACTTTCAATTTTCATCGACGAGTCGAGTCGAGATCGAATAGCCTCGCGTGAATCGCTCTCGTAGAAGCGAGGTCATAGGGGGACAAGTTCGATAACAGGAGGCAAAAAAAAAAAAAAGGTGTTACATTACGTTCGAAGGGAGGTCGAAATAAATCGATGGTCGAAAGAAAATAGTGTGACATCAGGGCCAGTCAGACACTTACGGCACTGACTTTTCGTGGCTTAGTGGTGGTCGTGTGATTGTTGATCTGTTTCACTCTGTGCTCGCTGACTGATTCGATCGAACGTATGCTCATTCTTTCTTTGTTGTTGTCATCGTTTCCTTTCTCCTGGCCAACGAACAGTTCATAACTGTGACATGAAAAGTCTGACGGTGATTTGACGATTTGATCGGCAGCGGCCACCGCCGCAGCGGCTGCCGCCTCCCGAGCCGCCGCCTGCGCCGCCAGCTTATTTTCTTTGGCCAGAGCTGCTTCCTCGGCTTCCTGTTACAATCCAAACAAACGAAAATTTGTACTCGTGTTCGTCGTATTGTTGCTGAATGGAACTATTAATTTTTAAAGACGACCGATTCGCTTTTGGTCGAATTTCTTGAAACATTGCTGGCAGTATTTAATGCATTTACTCGACTATTCTAAGTAGGATCATTAATTGACAAAAATAGTTAGTTACGACAAGTATAGCATTATTCAGAGAGGCATTTGATTGTAGGATAAACATTGTAGTCGCGTTGAAGAGAAAGTTTGTACCACAATTGCTAGTACAAAGTTCTTGATAAGCGATTTAACGCAAAGTTGTTTTAAGATCAATGCAGAATACGTAGACAAATAATTAGATTTGGAATAATCATACAAATCAGTCAAAGAGTTAGAAAGACCATATAAATTAATGAATAATTACGATCTTTCGAGAATCTTATTAATTTAAATCGAGCTACTAAAGTTTATTGTATAATATTTTTTACAACTTCTGACTGAATGAAGATGAAACGTTCATTTTGTAAAGGTAATAATTTTTAAAGTTAGGATTACGTACTCTTATAGCTTCCTCCTCAGCAGCCTCCTCCTCTTCTGCTTTCTTTTGCAATTCGTCATACGACATCGCGACAATAGCGAGAATCAAGTTAACTAGATAAAAGGAGCCGAGGAAAATGATAACGATGAAGAACAACATATGCCACGGACCAGCCGATCGGAGCACCAGCTGATACAGATTTTCCCAATAATCTTGCGTCATCAAACGAAAAGCGGAGAGTAAGGCCCAGCCGAATGTGTCGAAACTTGTGTAACCATAATTCGGATTTTCGCCGTATCCTTGTAAACACGTGTAGCCAGGAAGGCACTGCCTGTATTCAACAAAAATACACGCATTTATTTATTAAACGTAGCAGCGTACGATATAATGAAATATGAGCCGCTCAAAAGCCAAAGTTGCATAGTTATACACGTGGATAATTAGTACGGAATGTTTTTCAGAAGGATCATCTCTTCGTGGATTTGTCAAATTAAACAGTCAAAGTAAATTTCGAGACGAAAATTAAAAAGAACATTGACCAAGTTGTAATCGAATGTGGCTTTCAAGCGACTCATGTGTGATAATTTACAAACTGGTGAAGAAAGTTACCCTGCTCCAGATGAATTTCCGCACAAAGGCATGTTTTTCGACTCGTCCACGTACCAATTAGCTAAATGAAATGACATAAAAGTAATTAGCTTGGAACGAATGAACTTCGAATGTATCAGTTTTTTTTATTCAGACAGTTTTTCTATTAATATTAATTAATTAAGAAAATGGAGATCTCCTATTTTAAGTGCAGGTTATAGTTTATATGCGAATTTTTATATTTTATATTGAATGAAATTTCAAACTTTCGTATATTAATTATTATTGTTAATATATATATATGTAATATTATATATAATATTATATATGTATTATAATATTATTAATATATATATAATTATATTATATATATTAAATATTATATATACAATCATATATAATTAATATTGAATGAAATTTCAAACTTTCGTATATTAATTATTATTGTTAATATATATACAATATTATATATATATTAACAATAATAATTAATATACGAAAGTTTGAATGTAATAT